TCACCAAGCTGTTTGCCTATTGTCCTGTAGCCCATCCCAGCCTTGTGCAAGTCTACAATTTTGTCCTTAGACAGCTCTTTGGTCTTGCCCATAGTGGAGAAGTTGGAGTCTGATAGATTGAGTGTGTGGACAGGTGTCTTTTATACAGGTAACGAGTTCAAACAGGTGCAATTAATACAGGCAATGAATGGAGGATAGGAGGGCTTCTTAGAGACAAATTAACAGGTCTGTGAGAGCCAGAATTCTTGCTGGTTGGTAGGTGATCAAATATTATTTCATGCAATAAAATGGAAATAAATGATTTAAAAATCTAACAATGTGATTTACTGGATTTTTTTTGTAGATTCTGTCTCTCAGAGTTGAGGTGTACCTACGATGAAAATTACAGAACTGTCCATTCTCTGTAAGTGGGAAAACCTGGAAAATCGGCAGTGTATTAAATACTTATTTGCCCCATTGTATATTGATTATTGTTTGTTCCTTTTGTTTACTCTTTGTTTTGTTCTTTTTTGGGGAAAGTCCTGAAAGACCCCCATTTTTGGGCAATCACCATCAAGGCCTGCAGTGAACCTGATTGTAAGAAAACAAACATAGTGAGAATCTTGAAACTGAACTCAGAATATAACATAGCTGTGCCACAAACATTTGTACTGTGATTAAATTACTTGTATACATGTAAGTATTGCCTGTTAAACATGCAAATTACAAATGACAATACAAGCTCAGACCAAAAAATCTTCTGCTCATGGATACATATAAAATGAAAATACTCAATGATGTAAACAATTAAGTAGTGAATGTATGAATAACAAAGTACTAAATAACTGCTACGCATGAATTGTGTGCAGTATGAATGTATGAAAATGTGATGTCAAAGTCCATTGTCCTTTGATCAGTTCAGTTCACTTCCTTGTAGTTTCATTCTGTCACCTCCTCGGCACCATCTGCTTTCTTCCATCCTCACTGGCTGCAATGTCTCTTTCTCGACTGTTCTAAACACAACTGACCTCAGCACCTTTGACTTGCACTCCCTCCTCATGAGGGTCAGATAGATAAGAACACAGCTGGGTCATAACCAGCTTTGTCAGGGGGAGCATCAGCTTCACTCGAACTCCCTCCTCATCCAAGGAATCCCTTAGATCACATCTTTTCTTTGAATCAGAATCAGCTCCAAGCCATCTCTGTCCTCGGGATCTTTCACACCATGTATGGGCCTCCTTCGCGAGGGGGTCTCACCTCCTCCTGGGCACCTTCACGTACATGATATCTCCTACTCTCACCCTGGACTCTCCATCCTTCTGGGTCTCTCTTTCCTGCAAAGAGAAAACACAAACAACACAGGCCACACAGGAGCAAATACTCCTGCACATAATAGTCACTAGACTAACATAAAATCTCACTTCCTTTATCAGGATGTCAAAACTGGGTTTAACATTACAAAATAGTACTCTATAGACTACACTTAAACCCACACCTGTCTCTTAAGCCATAGGTGTGGTCCTGTTTAACACACACACACACCAAAAATAGCAGCAGCAGCATCAAGCAGCTAAATCAAATAACTTTACTCTACCAGAAAGTGTACTTTTCATTGTCATTGTGCAGGCAAATCTGTGACTTCTGTGAGAGGAGATTTTAACATCCATACATGCAACCCAGGGACACACACTGAGCAGAAAAATACACAAGAACTAAAAGAACTATCATCCATTTTCAATAAGAAGAAAAGTGTGTTATAAGCAGAAGAATGTACTAGCATCTACCTCAAGATATTACTAATTTAATTTAGTTCTGACAACTAACCAGAAATGCAAATGACAGTAAATATGACCTTATATCAGGTTACCTCCTGAAGAAAGTCCACCTCTATTAAATTTTGTCACAAGATTTAAAGTAGAACATGATCAGAAATAACCACTGCATATGTCCACACATCACATTACTGTTACATCTGTGGCCCTGGCCACCCCAGCGCCTCGTCAGCTGGTATGAGTAATCCCAGTAGCACCACCCCCACACAGGTGGGAATGCATTCCAGGCAGCGAGGCGCACCTGCTCTCAATTATCAGAGCAGTGCTTAAGGAGAGCATTGGCGTGTCCTCATTGCCAGATGATCGCCTGTGATTCCACCAGTAACTTTGCTTGGCATCCATGCCCAGACCCTATACAGAAGAACTGCGTACCTGTCATTAATCCTGACCTTATAATTTTTTTTGGACCTGTATGCTGTCAATTTGTGGATGTTTTAGGCATCGGCTTGTCTGGATTCCTGCCCTTCATTGCTTTGTTTCTCTCAGCACCAAGTGGTGCAGTGACTGTTACCTGTTTTCCTCAGTGCGAGGAGACCTGCTCTTACTATGATTCTGGATCTCCACTATCAGTTTTCATCACAGCATCCTATTGCCTGCTCTGCCATGGACCTGCTCATCTGACTGGCTATCTCCTGTGCCCTCTCCCGCTTCTTTTGCCTGCGGCGCTCACCTGCCGAAAGCCAACGCAGTCAGCTAATCAGGTTCACAGTATTCCATCAGAACTAGCTCTAACTTCAGTATACTGTACCTGTTCAGCTCTCATGTTCTCTCCCTCTGCTCTCATTTAGCAAGCTGCGTCCCTCCTTCAACCCCGGGTTGCATCACCAGCAGTCCAGTTCACCCAGCGCTCCCAGCTGCCCCACAGTTTCTTGGCCTCTTACTCATCCTGCATTTTTGCACCTAGAAACGCCATTAATGTATCAACATGTTCAGCTATTTAAGGACATTTATGCTTGTATACAACTTTTTTGGCATGCCGTAACAATTACATTCAAAATACAGAGGTACAGTACTATATGTTTGCTTTAATTGTCAAAATATTGTCCTTTTATCCCATAGCACATTGTGAAAATGAAAATCTATACAACCATTACATCCTTGCCAGAATCTCTTGATGGACAGGGTCCAAAGCTGAAACAATCACTTAATTAACCAATTGTGCAATCAAAAAAAATTAATCTACAAACTTTTAGATAATCAGACAGCTGTTTTCAAAAACTAATGCTTTCTGTTTCTCAACTATTCGCTAGGTTTACTTATTGTGTGGATGCTGTAAAGCATCCATACTATGTTATCCAATTATTTATTATTATTGTATGGATGCTGTCATTCTGCCATCCTTAAGCTTTATAGACATATAATACATGAAAATCGTAGAGAAAATTGTTGACAATCTATCTATGGCATTGTTATTGCGATAGGATGATGGTTTTTGCGTAAGTTGCACATTCCGGACAGTGCTCCTTAAACTTAGTCAACAACAGGTGTCAAAAGATCACTGTGCTGACTAGCTACATATATATGGAACCCCAAAGTGTTCAAAATTAAATAAGTTAATAGGATATTATGAAGTAAATAAATATATGAATAAATGAGAGACAAATATGTAAACTGACCATGAAATTGTGAAATAATCACAAACATTTTCCAAATTAAGCTCATTCTTATGAAATACGTTTCATTCTGCTTTAAAATCTGCTCATTATCTATTATCACGAAACCATTATTTCATAATGATTCTTTTCATAATAATACCGATTATCACATCTGCATTTTTATTTAAATCCAGACGTTTTTATTTCAAAAGGTCATTTTTCCAAAGTCGGCTTTTATTGCACAATACCCTTTTAGCTTTATAAACATATAATACATGAAAATCATAGAGAAAATTGTCGACAATCTCTCTATGCCATTGTTTTTGCGATAGCATGACGTTTTTTGCGTAAGTTGCACATTCTGGACAGTGTTCCTTAAATTTAGTCAACAACAGGTGTCAAAAGATCGCTGTGCTGATTAGCTACATATAGTTTAATGCCTTTTATGTAAATATACTGGACTGTTGTTATGAACAAGCCTGGCCGAAGAAGGATTATATCAAAACCGAACCGAGGTAAGCTTATTATTAATTTATTTTGAACGAGGCAGAGGCTGACTTAGTCCACTAACATTATGATAGGCTGCTAACAGCTAGCGAACTAGACACAAAGCGCTTTATTTACAATAAAGTTTACAATGATTCATGTGAACTGTTTAGTTAAGGTTACACGGTGTTTGTACTCAGGCATGTGAACACTGAATAATTTTTCTCATTAACTTTTTATAAGGGAATCGTGGCTCAATAGAGTGATTCTGAAAATACCTTCGAAGCAAAAATACGGGTTTTTATATCGCCATGGTTTCTTCATTTTGTGTACTATCTTGACTTACATTGCATTTTGGTCAACAATCACAAATCTTACCATTTGTCTGAAACTGACAGCTATTTATTGTAGATTTAATTGCAATCACACAAAATCATCAAGTTATTCTTATTAAATACAACAATCTGTTTGCTTTGTAAAACAGTTATTTCAATTCTGCCAGAAAAATATTAAATGTAAAGGAATAAACTCCACATAAAACATTTTAGTGTAAATTTTTTCACATACTCAACCGTTATCACAGCCATCTGTCTTTATCCTCAAATGTTTGGACTTACCAGCAGAACCAGCAACTCAATCTTATAATGGTTGTATTTTCAATGTTAGAAGCAATGTTAATTTCCTAAACCCTTGTATATTTGTGTACAGTCTTGTAT